AGTCGGCCCAGCAGATGAGGAAGTGGCAGGCAGGCTGGCCCTGGCACTTCTCTCTGGCCCTGCTCCCTCCGATCCCTCCACTGCTGCCCGCCTGGCCCCCCACTGGTGAGTCTGGACCTTCCGCGGGCTCTCCACGTGCCGGGCCCCTCTCCTGGCGGCCCAGCCCAGTCCTGCCCAGCCCTGCCCTGCCCAGGCTGTGGGCGAGGCTGTTCCTGGGGAGAGTGGGTGGGAGGTCCCAGCTTTCTGGGGCTGGGCCTCCCCAGCAATCTCCTTCCCGCCCCCGGCCCCCATTTGCTTAAACCTTAGCCTGCCCCCACCATCTCCAGGTCTCCCCTTCCACCCCATTACCCCCTCCCCCCTCTGCCTTCTCCTCCTCCCTCCCCCTCCCCCTTCCTTTGCCTATTTTCTCTTCCATCCATCTTGAAGGAAGGGACAGGCTGAGTTCCCCTACTGGGACCACACCCAGATTCCCCTAAACTTGGGGAGACGTCCTTTCCAGAAACTTTAAGCTACTACTGACATCCTGGGGGACATGTGTGTGTGTGGAGGGGGTGGTGGGGGTGAAGTAGGGGCAGGAGTGGATGAGAGGGGAAGGAGAGATAATAACACGCTGGCAAACTCACACGGGACAGGGAAGCGCTGCTGTCCTCACACAGCAAGGGACAAAAATCTGATAGTGAATGAATGAATGATGGTTGTCACCTGTGAAAGGAGATCTGCAGGCAGCTGTGTCTGCACACACCGCATGGGCGATTTTATGTTCATTCACCCCGAAGTGAATTTTATGAGTTTATGTACTTGACATTTATGTGCGATTCCTGAATGTGTGAGTAAACCTGCAGGCAGACCTGAGTGTGTGAGCACTCACACCTGGTAGTGTGGGGCCAGTGAAGGTGGGTGTGTGAGTACTTGGGGTGTGTTTGTCAGTGTGACTGTAGTTAGGCACAGGTCTAAGTATGTCAAAGTTCATGCGGGCGTGTTGGAATGGTGTGTCAGAGGAGGGCAGCCGTCACTAGCAGAAATTTTGCGGGCTCTGTGCCTACCTGAGTACTAGCCATTGGGTAAGTTTGCTATGGGGGTGAGGAGAGAACTTTGAGAGAGAGTGTGTGTTGGGAGAACTTGGGCCCTGACCCCCAAAGGCAGGGGATTGGGAGGAGCTGAGACAGTTGTGGGTCTGAAGCACTGTGGGATGTTATAAAGGTTGAGGGGCGTATCTGCGAGGTGTGTGACCCGTGAGGGTGTGCGAGCTGCTGTGCCACCTCTGACACCTGTGTCAGAAGATGTGTTCTTCATGCAGTACCTGTGCAGGTGTTCGCTGATAGAGGGAACTGGGCACACTAGGGCGCCCGAAGCTCACAGAGCATCTGCTGCCCTTGCCGTTTGGGAAATACCTTGTTGCTCTGGGACTATCTCTGAGTCCCAGGCTCTCTGGGGCTCTGTGTCCCTGTGAGCCCTCCCCCGGCATTCCTTCAGGCTTTGAGGGGGAGAGGGCTCCTCTCATTAGGACCCCTCCCTCAGGGAGGGGAAGATTCCTGAGACCTCCCCCACTCCCCGCCTCCTCACATGCCGCTGGCTTCCCTGCCTCTCCCTGGGAGAGAAGGAATTCTACCCATTCTGAAGTAGGGCAAACTGAGAACTGATGTCTAGTTTCAGAGAAGATTCCAGATATGGGTTTTTAGCACTTTCCTTGGCCCAGCTAGGGCTGGGGCTGTAGCCTGGGAGGTTTCTGGCTTAGGACGTAGATCCTTAGCTCTTCTGGCGGGTCTGGGCTGGGTAGCTGGTGAGTCCCTGGCTTTACTTGGCTTTCTCAATCCTGGTGGGTCCTGCTCCTCCAGGCACTGACCTGTGGCCTGGACCCACCCTCCACCCCAAGCGCAGCTCAGCGGGGGCGGGCAGAGGGCGGGGCTGCTGCCAGATCTAGTCAGACAGGTGGAGCCACCAGGACGGAGTCTCAAAGGGCCTGGCTCCTGCAGAGGAAGGCTAGAGGAGATCGCGGAGAGGAGAGAGGCTGACGTGAGAGCCCGGGAAGGCAGAGGCCAGCCCTAGGGAGTATCCTGGCAGAAAAGAGGAGGAATTCTGGGTGGGTAAGCTTCCCAGTAGGGGCAGGTGGGACTGGGAGGGGAGAGTCCCCAGGGGACCGGAGGAAGTCCCAGGAGCATCAGGAAAGGGGGACTAGCAGGCAGGAGAAGGGAGGTGGAAGGGGAGGATCTCCGGAGAGACAAAAAGGACCCAGAACTGGTGAGGGGAGAGATGGTGAGGAAGGGAGAGGCAGTGCATTCTGAGATGAGTTGGTGAGCGGGAAGACTCTGGAAAGAGAGCAGGACTTCAGAGATCTCTTGAGGAAGAGGGGCAGGGAGGTCCAGAAATACGGATCTCTGGAGAGGGGCAGAGTGAGAGGAGAGTAAGGTGTGGAGAGGAAGGGCGGAACAGCCCTTCCCAGACAGGCAGGATGTTCGGGAAGCAGATGCCCGCTGCCAAACTGCCTCCTCCTACCCCTACTCCCCAGCAGTTCCTTCCTCTGTTTGAGGCTTGTGAGTTCTCATCTGGTCTGTCTTATCTATGGGTCAAGGGTGGGATGGGGTGGGGGGTGCTGCCTGACACCCACCCTCCATGTGTCCCCAGAATCCTTAGCCAGGATGGAGGCTGTTGTGAACTTGTACCAGGTATTGATGAAGCATGCAGGTAAGATGCTGTTCACTGCCCTTTCCCCCTCCTACCCTGGGGTCCCTGGATCTAGAATTATCTCCTAATGGAGTGTCCCTAGGAACTGCATCACCTTTTGTGACCTCACGTCTGTCAGTACATCTGGTGGGGACCCTTTGGACCCAGTGACCCTTTCTGACTCCTTTGACCCTTATTCACAGATCCCCGGATCCAGGGCTACCCTCTGATGGGGTCTCCCTTGCTCATGACCTCCATCCTCCTGACCTACGTGTACTTCGTTCTCTCACTTGGGCCTCGAATCATGGCCAATCGGAAGCCCTTCCAGCTCCGCGGCTTCATGATTGTCTACAACTTCTCACTGGTGGCACTCTCCCTCTACATTGTCTATGAGGTGGGCCCCTGGATGCCTAGCTTTAATTCTTGCCTTCGGACCAGTGCATGGCATCTCCTTTCTGGGGAGGCTCAGATTCCCTTCTTCAGCTAAAGGGAGGGAGGGACTGGGGGCAAAGAGGGAACTCAGTGGTCTAATCCACACCCTTCCTAGTTCCTGATGTCTGGCTGGCTGAGTACCTATACCTGGCGCTGTGACCCTGTGGATTTTTCCAACAGCCCAGAGGCATTGAGGGTAAGTTAGGGGGCTGGGGTGGGGGCTATGCAGGGAAAGAGGGATCAGAGCTGCCAGGGATGGGAGCACTTTGGGTGTGTGCTCATGGTCCAGGTTAGGGAAGCTCTTGGAGTAAGTATTGGGGGGGTGAGGGTTTCTAAGTATGCCCTGACTTCTTGCAGATGGTTCGAGTGGCCTGGCTCTTCCTCTTCTCCAAGTTCATTGAGCTAATGGACACAGTGAGTATGAGATGTGAGAACTTGGCCGGAGAAGAAAGTGAGAGACCCTGGCTCTGAACTCCCTTTTTCCACTTCTCTCAGGTGATCTTTATTCTCCGGAAAAAAGATGGACAGGTGACCTTCTTACATGTTTTTCACCACTCAGTGCTGCCCTGGAGCTGGTGGTGGGGAGTAAATGTTGCCCCAGGTGAGTGGTGAAGGCCACCAGGTTTAGGAGGGTGGCACTGGGGAACAAGAAATTCAACTTACCCAACCCTGTTCACTGTCTGCTCACAGGAGGAATGGGCTCTTTCCACGCCATGATCAACTCCTCTGTGCATGTCGTCATGTACCTGTACTATGGATTGTCTGCCCTTGGCCCTGCGGCTCAGCCCTACCTTTGGTGGAAAAAGCACATGACAGCCATCCAACTGGTGAGGAAGCTGGGCCTGATCTGTCACATCCCCCCAACATTCCTAGTCTGGAGCCTACCTTTATGCAACCTACACCTCACCTTTGACCTTTCCCTCCCACTCAACCTTCAGTCTCTCTCCCACCACCCGGTCCTCACTGTCCCCTCTGGCCCTTCCTTTCTCTCTCCCCTAGATCCAGTTCGTCCTGGTGTCCCTGCACATCTCCCAGTACTACTTCATACCCAGCTGTGGCTACCAGTACCCGGTCATCATCCACCTCATCTGGATGTACGGCACCATCTTCTTCATCCTCTTCTCCAATTTCTGGTATCACTCCTACACCAAAGGCAAGCGGCTGCCCCGCGCACTTCAGCAGAATGGAGCTCCGGGTACTGCCAAGGCCAAGGCCAAGGCCAATTGAATACTGTGGCTTAGCTGGGCGCCCACCTAAGTGCCTCGGGACTGCACCTTGGGCAGCATCTGTCAGCATCTTTTCCACCTACACCTGCGACCAGGGCTTATGTGGTCAGGACTGGGCAGGGGATAGGCCAGCCCCTCCCACAGCTGGTACACAGGGACCACTGCTTCCGTTCCTCACCCACTTCCTCCGGTCAGCCCCAGGGATGTGGCCTCAATGCCCTCTGCCACTCGAGCTGGGGGCTGGACACTTACTCCCCCCTCCCTGCCTTAAACTTGGGAGAGGAGCACTCAGGGCTGGCCCCCACCAGGGTCTTGTGGCCTTTTGCCTCACACTTAAGAGGTCAGCAATAATCTGTCGCTGTGGACTCAGCCTCCCTCCTTCACCCCACACTGAAGTAGGAGCTTCTTGGCCAAAGGTCAGGGTAGGTGGGGGGCCTGGGAATACAGCCTGTGGAGGCTGCTCACTCACTTTGTCTTCATTAAAAGTGACAGAGGAAACGATTGAGGCTGTGTGTGTACATATGTCAACAAAGGAGTGGGGCGCACAAAACCTGCTAGCTTTGTTTACAAGCAGGGGGATGATCACGGCACCCACAGCACACATGCCTAGCTGTCTGATCACAGTAGAGAGGACTCTGGGAAGGCTGCTGACACCAAGATCATGCAAAGAGAAGACAGGGAGGAGACGTGACTTTATTAGGAAAAAAAAAACAAAAAAAAACACTGAAGGTGTTGAGTTGGTCCTCAGCGGATGCCTTGGTGGATGAGGCTGCTTTTGGCTGCACTGGCCTTTTCCCGCTCCCGCCGGCGAGCAGGATCCAACTCAAAGCAGCGCCATAGCCGCAGGGTCTCATCTGCTGCGGCTGATGCCACTGTGGCCCCATCTGGACTCATGGTCAGACTCAGGACCCGGGCTGTGTGACCTGAGGTATGAACAGGAAAAAGTGGAGCAGTACAGATGAATGTAGACACACTGCTGCCTTCCAATTTGTAGGGTTACCAACCTTTTTTGGGTTTTGTTTTTTGTAACAGCTTATTGAGACTTTTTAAAGTGTACAAGTCATTGCTTTTTAGCATACTCACAAAGTTGTACAAACATCACAGCTGTCTAATTCCAGAACATTTTCATCACCTCATAAAGTCACTTCTCTACCCTCTTCCCTTAAGTCCCTGGCAACCTATTTAATCTGTTTTATTTCTCTGCAACTGCCTTGTCTGGGACATTTCATATAGTCATACATTATGTGGTCTTTGTGTCCATTTTATTCAGCACCTACCTTTGAGCTCAGCCACCTTGGCCATGGTTGGGTACTTCCAAATAACCAGCTGGTTCTGGGCAAAGCCATGGCCTGATATGAGCTCCTTGTAGTGGGGAGACCAGAGGATGGAGCACACCTGTGGAAAGGGACTAGCATGAGAATGACGGAACTAATGCTACTAAAATCAGAACTAAGACCATTCTAATGTTGGGCCTCCCTAGTGGCGCAGGGGTTAAGACCCAAACTATGAAGCTGTCTGCAGCCACTGTGGCACGAGTTTGATCCCAGGCCAGGGAGCTACCCACATGGTGCAGCAGACCTCTCCTGTCTCACTCACTGCTCCCCTCAGCAGTGTATTTCAGGCAGTCTGCCTGTTCTGTTCCCCACTCTGTCTCTGGTGAATCCTCTCACCCCCACCACACCTCTGGCCTGTACCCCAGTTCTTGTATGCATAAATAAATAAATCTTAAAAAAAAAGACCATTCTAATGTTCGGCACCCTGACAGGTGCTACAAACGGGACTTACAGGCTGTATTCCTTACAAAAGCCCTTGGAGAACAATTGCTCTTCTTTTTATTTATTTATCCATTTATTTATTTATTTTTAAGGTTTATTTATTTATTTATACAAGCACTGGGTACAGTCAGAAGTGCAGGAGGGTGAGAGGATTCGCCAGAGCAGGGAACAGAACAGGCAGATGGACCTAAGCACACTGCTGAGGGGAGCAGTGGGCGGCAGGAGAGTTCTGCGCGCCATGTGGGACCCTGGCCGGCGGCCCGGGATCAAACCAGCACTGCAGAGGCTGCGGACAGCTTCACAGCCCAGCGCTCAACCGCTGCGCCACCAGGGGAGGCCCTTCTTTTTTATTTACGTTTTTAATTATTATTTTAAAATTTATTTTTGCATAGAAGAACTGGGGTGTAAGCCAGAGGTGGGGGGTGAGAGGATTCACCAGAGACAGAGTGGGGAGCAGCACAGGCAGATCTACTGAAATACATTGCTAAAGGGAGCAGTGGGCAAAACAGAAGAGGTCTGCTGTGCCATGTTGGTTAGCTACCCAGACAGGGACTGAACTCAGGATGTTGCAGTGGAAGCACCAAGACTTAACCCCTAGGCCACTCGGAAGGCCCCCTGCTCTCCATTTACTTTTTTTTTTTTTAAGATTTATTTATTTATGCATACAGCCAGAGGTGAGGGGTTGGGGGTGAGAGGATTCACCAGAGATAGAGTGGGGAAGAGAACAGGCAGATCTACTGAAATACACTGCTTAGGGGAGCAGCAGGCGAGACAGGAGAGGTCTGCTGCACCACGTGGGTAGCACCCTGGCCAGCCGGTGATTGAACTCATGATGCAGAGGCTGCGGATAGCTTCACAAGTGCTGTGTTTAACCCCTTGCACCATCAGGGAGGCCCCATGCCCTCCATTTTTAAAGATTCAGAATCAAAAGCAGAAGGAAGCTCAGCACATTTGCCTAAGGTCAAATGCAAGTTAAGTTAGTAGGTGACAGAGCCTGAATTTGAACTCTAGCTCCATAGCCCTCTCTAGAATGAAGGCTGGATGTGTCGGAAGGGAAGCTGGAGTGGATGCAGGGAGATATACCAGCAAGGAAGGGCCTCAAGGATCACTTCTAGTGGGTTTAGATCATATTCTATAGTTGATGGGGATAACACTACCAGACCACCCAGACCAATACAAATGACAGACTCAAAGAGATGAGAACACTGGGAGACCAATGCAGTGGCCCTTGGCTGGGAAGAAGGGTGAGGCTGAGGGGACAGATATTCTGAGGTAAAAATGACCAGTCTTGATGAGTAGGTGAGGAGGATGAGATTCTAGGTTTTTCAGATTTCTGAATAGATTCTGCCTCTCTCAAACAATACAAGAGGAGGAGGGAAACATTTAAAGGAGGCAAGGGAAAGTGACAAGTTTAATTTGGGACATATTGGGGTGTCCTTATAGGACACAGGGATAGAGATAAGCCACAAATTATTGGAACTATGGGTCTGAGTTAGAAGTTCGGGAATCATCAGGATATAGACTTGGCAAAATTATTGAAATGGACATGGCTTCTTAGGAAGTATATATAATAGAGAGTAAGAACACATCCGCAAGTGGGAAGCTGAAATAAGACTACCTGGGAATGAGCATCCACAGCACTCAGACAGGCCCCAGAGCAGACATTCCAGATGCGAATGTGTCGGTCACTGGTGCCCCCTCCGGTTGCAAGGACATTGGACTGCCAGGGACACCAAGCTACAGCCTAGATGAAACAGAGGTGAGGTCAGATTAAAATTAGAGTGAGGTGAACTGCGGGGGTCACAGATTAAGCCAGTTCAATCCCACCATCCCATCTCCCTTTAATAGTCCCCAGGTTCTGGCTGAGGGTCTGCAAAAGCTCCAGCCCAGCCACACTCACCTTGACAGCCCCTTGATGCTGGGTGAATGTCTGCAGGGGAACCCAGCCACCTTCTCCAGGAGCACTGGGCCACACATTGACCAAGTTATCATTGCCACCACTGGCCAAATGTCGTCCGTCTGGGGCCCAGCGCAATCCACATACTTCCTGGCTGTGGCCACTCAGTGTGGCCACATGGTGTTCTGCTACACGAACATCATGGTGGTGGATATGGCCGGAGCGTGAGCCACTATGGAAGAGAAGGGGATCAGGTTCTGTGCCAGTGTCAAACACAACCAGCAGGCCAGTGCTACTTCAGTGTAGTGGTATATAGTTGAGGGAGAGTAGACAAAAGTCATAAACTGATTTTGTCACAGATTAGCAAGAACCACTGACCTGGACAGGATATAGCTATTCCAACACAGGGAGCCCACTCGTGCAGAGTGACTGGTCATGTTTCGAAGCCGTTTCTGCTGTTGCACATCCCACAGCTAGAGATCAGAGATTGGGACTCAGAATTAATGTCCTCCTGCTGGGCAAACTCCCTGGGTCTGGGAGGCAATAAAGCTGCAGCACAAGGACAAGTCTCACCTGCACCTCAGCACTGCTGGTACCCACAGCCAGGTAGTTGCCCTCTTTGATCCAGGCTACAGAAGATACATACTCCCCAGGCTGTTCCATTTGGAGCAGCTGCAGGATGTCACCAGAGCTAGCATTCCACAAGTACACACTGTTGTCCAGTGCCACGGCTAGGACATTTCCAGAGCTCCAATCCACAAGATTCAGGTCTGCCAGGGCGGGAAAGGGGAGAGCATGCTTTTTACTTGTTTGTCTCATCCCCGGGCCCTTTCTTCATCCACTGGGCAAAGAGAAGGCTGCACTTACAGTAGTCATTCCGGATTTCAGGGGCATCCAGGATGCGGTCTGGCAGGGAAGGAATGTAACGGCATGCCTTCCGGCTGGAGCCAGGTGTGGCCTTTTGGCTATAGAGCACTTTCAGTCTGTTCTGGTAACCTGTGGCAACAGAGTGGGTTTAGACGCTGGGAGTACTGACACGGTCACCTGCCCCTCCCCCTTGGCCTGGCCCTAGCCTGGAAAGCTGGATAAGCACTTCCCCTTCCCATGGGAAGGAGCAACAGACGGGCATCTCCCTCGCAGGCCTCAGGCCTCGGGAGGCGCTGACACCTCCTAAGAACTTCAGTTCTTACCCTCTGGGGCATTCTGTGGTTTTCCACTGAGCCGAAGGATCTTGGCTTCCTCCACATCGAAACCGTTCAAGTTCAAAGCCCAGGCTTTCTGATGTTCCTAGCACATAAAGCGGGAGGTGGAATGGCATTATCCAAAGGACACTGACAGGTCCGCTACCCTAAGCCCCTCTGAGACACATACCTTCTTGGTGGGCGTCTGGCTGTTTTCTGGCTGGTTCTCCTTGCTCAGGAGGAAGCTGGCCACCTCCATCTGGGAAGCACTGCGATGGGGGATATAGCGGTCGCCGCCAGGCTTGCTGGGAGTGGTCTGACTCTTAGAGCTGGATTTACCTGGGGCGGGGAGAGGGAGGCCAGTCTGACCAGGCTGCTCTCAGCCGTCCCCTCTCCCGCCCCGCGTCCCGCCGCACTCTACCAACCAGGGGTTCGCCCCGGGGTCCTGCCGGCGCTGTGGGACCGGTTGGCAGCCCGCATGGGCGAGGGGGCGGGCCCCGCCGCGTCCTTAGCTTTGCGCTGCCAGCGGGCGGGCGGTGCATTGGGGATGGGCGCGTCCAGCTGGAGCAGCGAGTGCAGGTCACTCTCGAACACGAACTGCGCCATGGGGGCGTCTGGAGGGGAGGGCCCGAGGAAGGGAAGGCAGCCGAAGAGGCAGCGACCGTGCTCTGGGGCGCAGGGCGTGCCGGCCGCGGCCCGTCCTCGGCTCCGGCCAGCAGACTCCCACCGCCCGCTCTCAGGAGGTTCCAATTCCAGGCGGCCCTGACGACTCCCGACGCACGCGACTTAAACTCTCCGCTTCGAGCGCTCATTGGCTCCTTCAAAACCCAACCGTCTCAACCGCTGCCCTCGCCCATTGGCCTCGACGGCGCAGGGGGCGGGCCTTCCGGGTCACAGATCTCACGAGAATCGGACGGCGGAGCGTGATTTGAGGAATAAGAGAGAAAGGCGTAGGCGGGGCCCTGGGAACCCGCGTCTGAAAACCTGGGGGGCGGGGCCGGCCGCGATGGGGGACCCGGCCCCCGCGGGCTCTGCATTCCGGAATCGCTTCCATTCATTCCTCAGCTTCCCCTCACCCGCTCCTCACTCTTCAAGTCTGAGCGTGGGTCATTATTTATGACACATAAATACAGAGCTCGGCGGAGTGACCTAGAGCCGTGGCGCCTTTCGGAGAAGGGAAAGGCTGCGGGCGCACAGCCCCGGGCAGGGGCATGGGGGGGCGGGGGGGGCGGAGAAGCCTTGGAAGTCAAAAGAAGGCCAGAGACGGGTTAGAATGTATGGGCTGTTTGCTTAGTGCCAGGAAGAACGCTGCTCGGGAGGGAGTAGCACGTGTGTTTAGGGGGAAATGAAAGGCGTGAATTCCTTAAGGTCAAGGAAAAGGATCATGCTTCAGACCTGCCTCTCTGGAAGCTAAAATTGGGCTGCCCTGTGGAGACCACTGTGGCTTCCCTCCGCCGGGCTTTGGAGCTGTCGGGGATCAGAGAGATGAGGCTAGTCTGTGCATAAGTCCTGCTCACGCTGGCAACATACCCGTAGTTTACAGATGAAGAAACAGGAGGCGAGGGAAGTGATTTGACCCAGGTCACGTTGTTATAGAGCAGCCCCGATATTAAACGGGTTCCTGGCTGTGGGTCCTCACCCGCGCGCTTTAAAGGGACTTATGAATACTCTACTACAGACACACACAAAAGGGTTAATAAAAGGTTTATTTACAAGAGAAAAGGAAATAAGGAAAATGTACAACTCAGGGAGAAAATAGGGAAATAAAGTCTTTAATGCGTCCTACCCGATCCGACGACCTGGAAACCCAAAGTCACTCTCAGAGCTGGCCGGAGGCTGCGAGCTGGTGGAGAGCCAAAATGGGTCCCCCAAAGCCCACGTGTCTGCCTTTTCTATCCACCTGGCTGCTTAACCCCACCCTCAGGTCCCAGCCACCTTCCCTTTGGTGGTGATGGGATTTGGAGTTCCCAGTGTCTTTGGCTTTGGCCTGGGGTGGGGGTGGAGTCCACAAAGCCTATATGGAAATAGCTTTGGGACATCCTTTTCCCCCTAACAACGTCATTTGGTGGGGAATCCTGGTCTGATTCCTGTTTAATTCAGTGCCCTAATATTGACCTGGATGAACTGTTTGAATAATCTTAGAGGTGAAGCTGAAATCATAAAAATAATAGTGGGTGCCATTTATTGGCCATCTGCTAAATACTGTTTATGCACATTTATTGAGTTTACTCCTACTCCCTAAGGCAGGCACTCTTAATTCCTTTTTACAGAAGGGGAAACTGGGTGAGAAAGATCCAGGCTTGGGTTAGAAATGTGGCCAAAGCCAATAATAGTAAGCAATGGTGCCAAACTGTCTAACCCCTGTACTCCTAACTATCCGGCGTACTGTCCTAGAGAGAGGCTGGCAAAATCACATTTTCAATCGTTAACCTAAGATCAGCCCTGACGATGGAAAAATCTGGGTTTCATAGTCCAAGCTTAATTTTTTTTTTTTTTAACTTTGAAACAGCCATGTTCTCCGTTTCCATTCACTTTAGAAAACAAGGTGTTGAGTGTCCTGGAATTGGAAATGTGGTGCCCTTGAATCCCAGATAACATTGAAAAGATAGTATAGAGTCAAGCTGGTAAGGGCCTTAAATGTTGAACTAAGGAATTTGAATTTTACCTGCCAGGTATTGTGGCATCAGGAGGGTTTCCATATAGGGAAGAGTCTTACAAAACTGTATCTGAGGGTATGATTAGCAATTTGCAATTTTTGGAGCAAGGGTAACTAGAGGAAAAGGACAGAGTAAATAAGTGTACAGCCTCAGGGGTTTTTTGCTTTGTAAAACAGAGGAATGAAAGAAGCCAGTGGGGGTTATATTGACATGAAATGGGGTGAGTTCTAATATAATGCAAAGTGGTCAAGCAGAATGATGACAGAAAAGGTCATATTTGGCTACTGAGAAATCAGTGACCTTGGAGAGAGTAGGACAAGAGAGTGGGTGCTAGGGTTCCATTTGAAAGAGGTTGCAGGAAGAAGAGTGGGGAGCAAGCACAGGCCACTTGTGTAAGAAACTTGGGAGTGAAAAGGGTAGTGTTTAGAGCTTGAGGAAACACCAACACCAAGAGGCCTATGCATGCTTGAAGGTGAAGACAAAAGGGCAGGGATGATGAAAGGGACCAGGCAGGGCCAGCAGATAGAACAAGGAAACTGTATCCCTTCCCTAGGAAGATATGGAGAGAAAATACAGGGAGCTTTTCCAACCTAAGAAAGATCACTTTTACTTAGGTTGGACAGAAGGAAAATAAGGCTTTAGAGACAGATAGAGAGCAGATAGGAACTGGTTAGATGGGAGAAACTCCCACCAGAAGTGGGAGATCATTAGACTTGAATTTAGTAAAGCAAAAGACATGGAAGGAATAAAATGTAGGTGATTTTCAGGTGCTGAAACAACCCATTTGGCAGAGTATTTACTCTGTGCTTTGCATCATTGTGTTAATACTTTTAATCCTTATGTAGGGAAATGGAAAAGAAACAGTTCATATTCTGAAGAGTCAAGCTAAAGACTTAGAGGTTAGGAGTAAGATGAATAGGAAGCAACGTACAGGTTGGATTTAAGGAGAGACCGGAGGTTGCAGTAATAGCTCAGTGAATACGGAGAAGAGGAGATGGAATTTAGGAAGTAAAAGTGGTCAGGACAGAAGGAATTGTAGGGTATCATAGGTTGAATTGTGTTCCCCACAAAATGCATATGTTGAATTCCTAACCCCAGAACTTCCAAGTGTGACCGTTATTAGGAAACAGGGTCACTGCAGATGTAATACATCAAGATGAAGTCATTGGACCATAATCTAATATGGCTGGTGTCCATATAAGATGGGAAATTTGGACACAGATTCACAGAGAATGAAATATGAAGAATATCCCAGAGAGATTTTATGAGCTGAGGCACAATGAAGATTTCCAGGAAAATTCCAGAAATTGGGGGAGAGGCATAGAGCAGATTCTTTCACACAGGTTTCAGAAAGAACTAATGCTGCTCACTGATACCTTGAACTTCTAGCCTCCAGAACTGTGAGACAAAAAATATTTGTTTTTCAAACCACCAAGTTTGTGGTACTTTCTTATAACAGTGCTACCAAATAACACAGAGGAAATCAGAGGGTGAAAGGAAGGTGCATTTGATTGAGTGACTTATTCCTCCACCCCCATCCCTGCATCCGAAGGATTAACTGTATCTCTCTTATAGCTACTCTCTCCAGATTGAGTAACCTTTTTGATGCCTTTTTGATGCCTAACTCTTTTTGATGCCTCGGGGTGGTATCAGTTTCCAGGTGTTGTTAGCCCTGGGGTACTTTTCTTAAATGCTGCCTCATCTTTATAAATATGCCCTTTATTAAACTCTTGTCAAGTTACCCACTTTGAGTGTGCCATCCATTTCTGCAAAGAGAATTGAATGGGTCAAGGGAACCCATACCAGAATGGCATAAGCACATATATTTACTACTGCTATGAATGACTTGGAGGATGAGGGAAGCTGACATGGGGTTACAGTGGCAGAGTACAAAAAGACTCCATTCACTTAGAGATGTTTATTGAAGGCCTACTAGTGCACCAAGCACTACTCTAGGTACTGGCAGGCGTTGGTGGGTGGGTGTGGGGACAAAGAAATTGTAGCCCTTGCCCTCCAGGAACTCACAATCTAGTAGCAGAAAACAGCCTTGTAAACAGTTACTGCATAAGACATTACAGGTCCTGTAGGAGGGGTCTGGGTTGGAGCTAAGAACTTTGGAGTAGCCAGCACAGTGTGAAGACCATGCAAATGGATGGGATTGGAGACTGTTACGAGTGGGCTCTCGCATGGCTGCCGGGGTGCAGCGCTCCCCTCAGTGCTTGTGCTTGCACTGGACATGGAGGCACCAAGCATGCCCTCACCATGCAGAACACTGGTGAGTTCATGGACCTGTACCTGCAGGGGAAATGCTCTGCCAGAAACTACATCAATGGTACCAAGGACCACGTGTCCATTGAGATGAACATGGCAGAAGTTGACAAGGTGACTGGCAGGTTCAAAGGCCAGGTTCAAAGGCCAATTTAAAACTTATACTATCTGTGAGGCCATTGGCAGGCTGAGCCTTTCTCCTTCTGGCCATTCTCTTTCTGGCCAGATGGGCAGCAAAGTGTCTGAGAACTTCTGATAGGGAGAGTCATGGATGTGGAATATTTGTCATAAATGAACAGTAAGAAGCAAAACAAAACAAAAACCAAAAAAACAACAAAAAAGAACTCTTGATGGAGGGATGCAATAATTATGGGGTGGACAGATGCTAGGATAAAATTAGGAAACAGTACTTCAGATACATTAAACACTATGTCCTAGGCACTGTGCTTTACTTAGACTATCTCACTTAATCCTTTTCACAATTGTATGGTGTTCTGTTATTACTCCCACTTTATGCATAAGGAAATTAAGGCTCAAAGGCTCAAAGTTACTTGTTCAAAGTTGCTCATGGAGCAAGAGGGAAAAACAAGAATTGAGCACAGTTCTGACACCACGTTTATACTTTTAACTCACATACTCAGAGAGGTAGGAGCAGAACCAGGAGAGGTGGTGATGTCATACAAACCAAGGTAGGAAAGAATTTAAAGGAGAAATGAACAGTCACCATGACAAATGCCACCAAGAGATAAAAAAAATTGAGGGTTAACAAGATCCAGTTTAACAAGATCTTACTGGGTAAGGCAATTAGGAGGCTTGAGGTGAACCTTACCATGAGCCACATGATAGTAGGGGAACTAATTAGTTTGAAAAACAAATGGGAAATGGGAAGGTAGAGACTTTTTTTTTTGGAAGGAGTTTGGCAATAAAGAGGAGAGAGAAAGAAGGTAAAAGAGGAGCTTAGTCAAATGAATCCTTGCCCAAGCAAAGAAGGACTTGGATGGCTGTCAGCAGCGGGACTGAAAGCTCAGTGTTATGAAGCCCAATTAGTAGAGTACAGAAGTGAGGGAATGGAAATGACGTCTAAGATGCATGTGTTGGGGGGTGGGCTGGGTAGGGAGATTTGGAAGAGAGGACTAGAGGGTTTGGATCTGTCCAGGGTACTGGGGATGAGGAGCCTGCCAACAGCTTAATGGTAAGTAGGAATGGTTGGCAATGTGAGTGGTGCAGTAGGATCCAGACTCAGCCGTGAGTGGGCACACAGTCAGGGACATGGTCCCCAGGCAAGAAGGCTGCACTCCTCGGTAGTCCCTCTGGGCCTGGGAGGAACACAGAGGCAAGGAGGTCTTCTCTCTGGACCTAGGTAGAATTTCAAGGAGGCTGGGTTCCACTTCCTCATAGACATCTGAGACTGCAGCCTTGGGTTGGGAGAGCTGGGGGGAGAGGGGTCTGGGTTAGAGCAGATCCCATGGGAGAGGGACCTCGATTGTGTAGAAAGAAGAGTCTGGTTGGGGTTAGGACTTGGGAAGGTATACTGGTGGGCGAAGATCTTAGAAAAGTTGTGTTGAGGTGGTGAGGATGCAGCTCCAGGCAAGAATGGCAGGGAGGAGAGTGCACTCACGGAGCTAAGGGCTGCAGCATCCCTGAGGTACTGGCCGAGGACCCGGTGCAGGTCTGGAAGTGAAGGCCACAGGGCATGCCTCAGGCTCCTTGGGGAGAAGGAAGAGAAGACCCAGTCAGGGGAGTGACCCAGGAGGGAGGAGTAGAGCACCGGGATGGGGATGGGGAGCGGTAAGGTGGGGAACAGTCATAGAGAAGTAAGAGTGGAGGCAAGGGAATAAAATGAGGTAGGAGAGCATGGGTGAAAAGGAAAGCTTAGGCGGAGGAGGGAAATCAGTGATAGGGAGGTTCAAAATGGGCTGTCCTCAAACATTCCTGCTTCGGGGTCTTTGTATTTTTTGTTCTTCCAGCCTGGAATATTCATTTGTTCCCATGTTTCATTTAGGTTTCTGCTCATTCCTGTATCACCATAGTAGGTGCTCAAGAAATTAGCTACATGAATGAATGATTTAAGAGAATGAATGGGGCTTAATATTGTTACTGAGGAGAGTGGTCTCTCTGGAAAGCATATGGATTAAGGCATGGTGGGGAACCTCCGATTCTTTACTCATATTTCCACATAGAGAGACTTTAGTTAAATGACATTTTGGGTCTCTTCAATGACCTCACGTTTCTCCAGGAAGGAAGGAATGATGCATTTGGTAAATTGGGGGAAAAGGAGCTGAGTATGCTTGGTTCAGCAGCACCACCTCCCATTCCAACATAAGCCACCCCTCCTCCCCCCAACCCCACCAGCTTTTTTGCTGGGTCTGGTTACCGACAAGAGGCTACATTCCAGTCTGCTCATACAGATGAGTGGATTAAAAGTTCAGAGAAGCATGTGTTCAAGGAGAGATGGGAGCTGAATCTTTGAGACTCAAGAGATGTTACCATTGAAGAACTGAGGTGGTGTGGATGCTACTCTTTGTAACTTCCGGAAACATTTCTCCTCAGCCTAGTCTATATAAATATGTATTATTCATTAATCACATTTATTTAAGGGCCTGCTGTTTGTCAGGCACCGTGTTGAGGATTTAAAGGTGACCAAATAAGGTATAGGGAAGACATATATAGAAATAAATGCAGTAAAGAGTTACTGGTATTATGAAGTCTGTACTGGGCATAAAGAGAGCAGCCAGTAGGGGAGGGTTAGGAAACATTCCTAGCAGTTGGTGAAGACAGTTAGTTATTTAAAAATAAATGGGTAGTAGTCACCCAGGGAGGATATTCTTGGCAGCAAGGACATTGTGCAAAGGCACTGAGAAGTAAAACTGCCTGACTTGTGGAAGAAGTCACCAACAGTTTGGCAAGGCAGATGCGCTGCGGTAAAAGCAGACAGGGGCCAGGTCTGACTTGCCATTCTAGAATCTGGACTGTCTTGGGGTTCTAATGAGATGTAAGAAGGGAAATGATAAGTTCATGTGTGCATTTTAGAAAGATTATTCTGGTGGCTGTGTGAGGCTAGATTGGAGAGAGAAGAGGCTGTTTTCTTGAGCCAGGTAGTGTTTGGAGGGCTAGAGAAAGAGGACCATTGTTTGAGCAAGGTTTAGGAGGTGAAATGACTAGATCAGACCAGACTGGCCAAGGGGGTGGAGGGCCTAACCGTTCTGGCTTGGGTGAGGGGTGGAGGGTAACCACCCCTGAGGTGAGGAGCCAGAAGGTGGGGCTGTTTGAGGTGTCCAGAACAGAGGGATGTTAGAGCGTAAGGAGGTGGTGCGACACCCTGGGAGAACATGCAGGCAGCAGCTGGTGGACTTGGGGTTGTCCAGAGAGGAGGTGTCACAGAGACCCCGGGTTACTTGTTTAGAGATCTCTGGTCCACCCCGACCGAGCACCGTCTCCCGCTTGACCGGGACGGTACCTGTAGTGCGCAGGAAACTGCCACCTCAGTAGCAGCAGGCCCAGGAGCGCGCTGAGGCCCAGCACCAGCAGCAGAGCGGTCACTAGGGAGATCCAGGCTACCGAAGCAAAGAAAAGTCAGATCCCCGCCACCAAGGCCAGAGCCCGGCCCTCAAGCCCGCCGGCCCCGCCCGGGCCCCGCCCTCGCCGCCCTGGGGCGCCGCGGAGGTCTGCGCAGCCGCCCTCGGTGCGGTCGGAGCGCCGCCCCCCGCTGCACCCTCCCACCCGCTCCCCGGCAGACCGCCTTGCCCCCGGCCGGGCCCTCACCCGTCTCGGAGGCGGTCTCCACCCTCACTGGGTCGGACCAGGCGCTCCAGGGGCCTTGGTAGGTGGGGCCGTGGAGCCTGGCGCGCAGCTGCAGGTGGTAGCGGGAGCGCGGGCGCAGCTCCAGGCTCTCGCCCTGGGCGCCGAGGGGCGGCTCCAGCACCTGGGGACCGGGGAGCCGGTGGTCGGGCAGGCTCTGGCATCCGGTGGCCCTGCGTCCCGGGCTTCGAGAGCCCAGCATCTGTTTGACTAAAATCCTACTGCTTTGAATTCCCGGTGATTCCTCCGCCCCGCCCTGGCCTCTCCCTACTCTCCACCCCCGCTCACCGCCGCCAGCCCCACGGACCAAACACGCGTCCCAGGCGCTAGCTCGCCAGGAACACCCCGCAGACAGCCTCTCCCTGACCACCACCTCACCCTGCCCGAGAGAAACGCGCCCGACACACTGACACGCAGACCTCATCTGCAGAGATCCACTCCTGACACAGACACACGCGCCACTCCGACAGAGACCCTGGGGCGCACACGCTGGCCAGGAGACATGGAGCCTACAGGAGCGAGCACCAGCACTCCAGGTGGGGCACGAAGACCATGCCACAAACAACACGCATTCAGCAGAGGATGCCAGCTTTATGCTAGGCGCTGGGAGCACAAGGACAGATCAGAGCAGAGGGGATAGGTGTCGTGTGTACGAGGAAGGAGACTATTAATCATTTAGCAAATATTTACAAATGGCTTGTGATATGCCAAGTACTGGTAGAAAAGAGACATGGTCCCTCACATGTCTCTGAGGAAAGCATCCACACAAGTATGATAGGTGATTAGTGCTACAATGACTGCGAATAAGACACAACGGAAGCACAAAGCATTTCACGCTACACAGTTGCTTGGTTGGGCTTACAGGGTGGTTTTGTGTGGATGGGCACGCTGAATGCTGAAAAGGTAGGCAAAGGCAATGGAGTAGGGATTTGTGGGCTGTTAGTGCAATAAACCGAACTTATCTGTTGATAAATAGAGGCAAGAGAAAGAGAAAAAGAAGAAGAGTCAAGGATGATTCCAGGTTTAGGCAACTGGGTAAGTAAGTGGTGGTGCTGTTGTCAGAAACAGGGAACAGAGGAAATGTAAGTTTGAGGAGGAACTACTGGTATGGTTCCTCTCTATGAAGTTCAGCAACAGCCCAAATTTAGTGGTGGTGGTGTCAGAATATGGTTACCTTGGAGAAGAGGCATGAAGAGCTTCCAGGGGACTAGAAATAATCGATATCTTGAACCATTATAGATAATGGTTATATGGTTGTATATTCAGGATTTGTGTGATTTATGTAATTCAATAAAAGTGGAATAAATTTGGGGGGAAAGATGAATTCAGTTTTGAATATGTTGAGTATGACATGGTCGGGGGGGTACTTTTAGGTAGAGCTATCTGTTCAGTTGCTAAATGAGACTAAAGATAGAGGAAGAAACTAACAATTAACTAATATATATTGAGTGTCTTCTAGATGCCTGGCAGTACATTCAATATTTATATATTTAATGTTTACTATAACTCCATAGGGTAGATAGCTTTATTTACATTTCACCAATAAGCAAACTGAGGCTTCAGAAATTTAGATAGTTTGCCTATTGTATATAAATTCCTTTCTCTCTGGGTCCTGGAGTGGTAAGTTTGGGATTGTCAGTATTTAGTTGTTAAAACCAAGTTGTTGAAGAGCTCACTCGGGAAAGTATGTATCTTGAGGAGAAACGTGCCTGAGATTGGACTCTGGGATGCATAACCTAATAAAAAAAGGTGGGAAAGAAGGGTAGAGGTTTCAGTCAAAGTATGAGAATCACAAGAGGCTGATATCCCAAAGACAGAGTGGAGGACATTTTTGGTAGAAATAGTCAACAGTGTCAGATGCCAAAGAGGGATTAAAATACCAGTTGAATCACATAAACCTAGACAAGCCCAGGCATGGATACATGGACACCTTCCTTCCCAATAACAGACATTGTGAAACTCAGGATACCCTGCGTAGTGAGGTCTGTGGACATTTGTTCCTTGACTTGTACCTTCCAGTCATGTTGGCCTTCTCCTGTGTAGCGAAGCTGATAGCAGGTCTCTTGGGGTGCCCAGGATGAGGGGTGCTGCCACTCCAAAGCCAGCTGCCCACTGGAAACCTCCTTCCAGTGCAGGTTGGGAGTGGGGACACGCACTGCAGGAACAATAGGCGATAGCTTAAGCCATTTTATGTACCGGGCACCATGTCACCAGGGCTATAGGTAAGGGGTGTCAGATTCGGGGATCCTGGGCATGGGGTCAGATATGGTAGGGGCAGAAACTGTGTCAGCGGAGAAGGGAAAAAATTCTTACCAGCCTGGTGGATCCAGAAAGGGGAGCCCAGGTAGCTGTGAACAGCACCCTGCAGTGTGGTCACCTCCACCAGGATGTGAATAGCACTGTCATTTTGTGACTTGAAGTGGCAGCGGGAGAACTGGGAGGGCTGTAATCCTGGATTTGTTATCGCCTCCTCTTCACAATTCTGCCAGATGGGGTCCCTAAGAATCGATCCCATAAAGTCATTGAATCAGACTTGCCCCAGAGGCTAGTCCTACATTCCCTATCCCACAGGGGCAACAGCCTGCATGGATTATAATCTAGCTCCTCCCTTTGGTGGACCTTCCGGCTTTGTCTGTCTTCATGCCAAAATGTTTTGTTTTCCAGTTTCCTTTGGTGTCCACCTCCTTCCCCCTAAGGAAATGATACATGAAAGCATGATATATGAAAATGACATGGGCTATAGAGTTAAGGTCTTGGTTTTTTGGCAAATAACTTGATTTATTTCCGCTCCAGTTTCTTCATTTGCTACATGGCTTAATAATACCTACTTCTTGGCATTGTCTCAAACATCAAAGAGCCATCCTTTTTCAGAAGGAAACCATCCTTAGGTTTTTAATCTGTTCTCTTACAACAGGCCTCTTAGTCACCTCTGTGTGCTGTGCTGCTATTAGATTATTACAACAGCTTCCTAACTTGCTTTTTCTGCCTCCACCCCTGCCACTCCCTTCAATTTGTTCTCCATATGGCTACTAGAATTGCTTCCAAAATATTGATCTGATAATGTTCAGCACCTAGGAAAAATCTGTCCATTTATTTTGGTCTTTATCATTGCCACATTAAATTGAACCACCATTATTTTTGCCTGGATTCTTTTTTTTTTTTTAAAGATTTATTTATTTATGCATACAAGAACTAGGGTACAGGCCAGAGGTTCGGGGGGCAAGAGGATTCACCAGAGACAGAGCAGGAAACAGAACAGGCAGATTGACTGAAATACACTGCTGAGAGGAGCAGCGGGTGAGTCAGGGGAGGTCTGCTGTGCCATGTGGGTAGCTCCCTGGCCGGGGATCGAACTCATGCTGCAGTGGCTGCTGACAGCCTCATAGGTTGCATCTCAACCCCTTACACCACCAAGGAGGTCCTGTTTTTGTCTGGGTTAAGGCAAATTTCTAATGTGTGATTCTGCTTCTATTCTTTATAATTTCACAGAGAAACATATCTTTTAAAAGTATAAATCGTATCATGTCATTCTTCTGCTTTAAACCCTTCAGTGACTCCTCATTGCACTGGGAATAAAATCCAAACTCTATTTCAGGCCCTACAGCATCGTTCTTGTCTCCTATGATTCTTGTACCATTTTACTATTCTTTACCTTCTTTCTGTGATACAAATATGTTGAATGCACACTCTTTGCACTTTACCTTTGCCCTAGATTGCTCTCACTCTAGATCTTCACGTATCTCACTCCCCCTTGTCACTCACTTTGGTCTCAGCTTATCTGTCACCTCCTTGGTGAGGCTTTCCCTTCCTGTGCAGTGTGTACATTAGCATCCCTTCTCCCCAGTCTTCCACTTAATCTCTGTCATATAACCTAATTCCTTTATTTCTTTTTTAAAAAAATTTATATTTTTGTGTGTAGAAGAATCCAGGGTGTAGGCCAGAGGTGCAGAGGGTGAGAGGATTCACCAGAGACAGAATGGGGAGCAGAATAGGTAGATCTACTGAAATATACTGTTAAGGAGAGCAGCGGTCGAGACAGGAGAGGTCTGCTGCACCACATGTGCTTTAGCTCCCTGGCCGGGCATAGAACTCTTGCCATAGTGGTGACAGCGTCGAAACTTAACCCCTAGGCCACCAGGGAGACTCCCTCCTTTGTTTCTTTACTTGCTTGACTCTCCTCTCCCTCACTAAAATGTGAGCCCCCCAAATACTGGAAACTTTTCTGTTTTATTTGTCACTCTACCCCCAGTGCCTGATGTATAGTCACCCTCAATTACTATTTTTTTAAGATAGATTTATTTATTTATTTATTTATTTATTTATTTATTTATTTATTTATTTATTTATTTATATAAGCACTGGGTACAGTCAGAAGTGCGAGAGGATGAGAGAATTCACCAGAGCCAGAGCGGGGAGCAGAGCAGGCAGATTGAGGAAGCACACTGCTGAGGGGAGCAGCGGGCGAGGCAGGAGAGGTCTGCGCGCCATGTGGGACCCTCGCCAGCGGCCAGGGATGGAACCAGCACTGCAGAGGCTGCGGGCAGCTTTGCAGCCTAGCGCTTAGCCACTGTGCCACTGGGGAGGCTCCACCCTCAACTATTTTATTGAACAAATGAATCCGGTCTCCTTTCTGATTATAACTCCTAAGCGACTTGCTGTTACTAAAATTGTTAATCCTTTTTTTTGTATTTATGCATTTATTCATTTATTCAACAAATAATTGATACTATGTGCCATTCACTGTGCTAGGCTCTATAAGTACAATCTTCGAGGAGCTCTCATTTCAGTGGAAAGGAGAGAAAAACAAACATGGTACTTTCTGTGATGTGCACAGGCAGGTTGGGAGTATCAAGGAGGATCATCTAACCCAGACGGGGAAGGTTAGGGAACACTCCGTGGTCAAGGCTTAGACTGAGTTTTGGGCTATAAATAGGACAGGCAAAGGGGACAAGCAGGCACCCCAGGCACATGCTTGTGCACAGATAAGAGATATGGTGCTTTGGGGGAAATTCTGAGTGGCACAGAATGCTTCCAGCGTAAAGGGCCTAATGGAATTGTAAGTGTGAGTGGGCAGAGCATGTCATGGATGGCCTTGTGGCCCTTCTAAAAAGCTTGAACTTAGCTTTGTAGTAATTATGGAGACATTTGATGCTATTAAACAGGGGATTGTCATAATTAGCTTTGTATTTAAGGAACATAGCTGTAAGGCTTTTGTAGAAAGAATCTGTGAGGGAGAACTAGAAACAGGGAGATCCTTAGGACACTGTTATGGTTTTCCGTGTGCAAAGGATGAGGCGCTGAACACAGGGTTGTGCTATTGGGGATAGATGGATTCAAGAGCTACTAAAGAGGGGCAAATGATAGGAATAATTCTGATTGGACCATAAGGGTATAGGAACAGCACAAGTCCAGGGTGATTTATATGTTTTGGAAAACTGAATTGACAGTAGGATGGAGGACAACAAGAGGAACAGATTTTGGTAGAGGACATAGTGACTTCAGTTTTGCCACTCTGTAATCTATATGCCACCCCTATACTATGGAAATCTATGCAGTTATTAAAAAGAATAAGTTATGTCTTTTTGTAATGACCTCTAAGACATATTTTTAAGTAAAAAAGTTAACAAATCAAATATATGTGATCTAATTTATGTTACACATTAAATATCATGTATATATATGTAAATGCATAGAACAACTGGAGGGATGCATTAAAACAGTTAATAGTGGTTTTCTATTATTTTGTTTTCTTTTTTTTACCAGTTTTGTTTTCTTTTAACTGAGCACCTATTATGTTCCATGCACGGCGGTAGGTGAGAATACATTGCTGAGTGAAAACAGACACTGATTTTCCCTTGTGGATCACAAATAGTCAAGATCAGCCTCTCTCAACTGGAGTTCCAAGAACTTTATTACCGATGAAGTGATCATATAAAGTATAAGTGTAAAATCATAACTATGGTCATAATCACTAAGGGAGAGGCACATGGTACAGCAAGGCTGTGTAGTAGTGCTGTCGGATCCATTGAGGGTGAGGGGAGGTTTCCCTGAGGAAGTGCCATTTGAGTTGAAATCTGAAGGTTAAATAAAAGTTAAGTAAAGACAGGTGTGCTGAACAAACAGTACGTGCAAAGACCCAGAGGCAGGAGGGAATATAGAGGGAAACAAGGAGGCCAGTCCTGGGACATTCAGAGCAAAAGGCATATAGTATAAGATGAAGCTAAAGGCGTAGGCATGCACTGAGGCTTTTGAACTTTATAAGGCCATGATAGAGTTCTTTTCTTTCTTTTTTTAAAATTTATTTAATTTTTTAAAAAGATTTTATTTATTTATACAAGAACCGGGGTACAGGCCAGAGGCGCGGGAGGGTGAGAGGATTCACCAGAGACAGAGCAGGGAACAGAACAGGCAGACTGACGAAATACACTGCTGAGGGGAGCAGCACTCAAGACAGGCAAGGTCTGGCGCGCCATGTGGGTTTCTCCCTGGCCGGCCGGGATCAAACCCGCATTGCAGAGGCTGCAGACAGCTTCACAGTGCGGCGCTCAACTGCCTGCACTACCAGGGAGGCCCTTAAAAGATTTTAAAAGATCACTCCAGTGCCTATGGTGGAGAATGATCTGGAAGATTCAAGTGTTAGTAAGTTTTCTCAACTAGCCCAAGTAAGAGATGATGATGTCTTGTACTAGGGTTATGGGCGTGACAAACAAAAGTGGAAAGATTCCAGAAATATGTAACAGATAACAGCAAGAAGACTTGGCTACAGGTAGGATATAGGGGTGACAGACCAACGAGGTGTTTAGTGGCAATTCTAGAAGTCCAGACAAAATTTTGATTGGATTTGATGGATAGTGGAAAGTTGCAGTAAATGTTTGAGTTGGGGAAGTTCACACAAAGATTGAGTTTAACAAAGGTCACTCTGTCAGCAGCAAATTAGAGGGGACAAACTTGTCAGGGACAAATTAGAGGGGAATGAGACTGTGGGCTGTTGCACTAGTCCAGGTAATATGATTAAGGCTGAACTAAGCCAAGGCCTTCCCAGTGGAAATAGGGAGGTAGAGAAGAGAAAATACTCATTGGAGGATGAGACCATGGAGGTCATTTAGTTTCGCACAAAACATTTTTCCCTGCAAAATTCTCTCTCCAGTAGTATCAAGCATAGTCATCAGTTTAACTCACCAGTTGGTGGGGCAGCACTGTGCCCTGCTGTGGTAGAAGAAGCCTTGGGAGCCAGCATGGTCCTGTTGCTGCCACTGACAGGTAACATTCTTCAGGTCCAACGTAAAGCATTGGAGTCCAATTTCCACTGAGGTCAAAGAAGGAATTCTCATCAGGACCCACGCTTGTTACTCTACAGGGTATCCACAAGGTCTTTTTTTTTTTTAATGACTGTTCTTCTTCTTTTTTTTTTTTAATACAAGCACTGGGTATAGTCAGAAGCGCGGGAGGGTGAGAGAATTCACCAGAGCCAGAGCGGGAAGCAGAGCAGGCAGAAGGACCGAAGTACACTGCTGAGGGGAGCAGCGGGCGGCAGGAGAGGTCTGTGCGCCATGTGGGACCCTCCTCCGGTGGCCAGGGAGCAGCCGGGAATTGAACCAGTGTTGCAGAGGCTGCGGGCAGCTTCGCAACCCAGCGCTCAACCGCTGCGCCACTGGGGAGGCCCCACAAGATCTTTACACACGACTTGGAACATTTACTCCCCTTCTTTGCTCCCTGAACATAGGTCACTTTGTTTAGTGGCAAGTTTGAGATGATAAGGAAGAAGCTTCCATATGCAGCCCAAACCTCCCTAAAGAGATTATTTCTTTCTCTTCCCATCCCCCCATTCCACTGTTGACTCACCTGCATCCCTAGGCAGGTCCACGGTCACAGGGAGGGACCAGGATCCCCAGGAGCCACGAAGGGAGACCCCATCAGGTTGGCTGCGCAGCTGGAGCCAGTAGGAGTTACCAGGCTGGAGCCCCGAGATGAGGCAGCTTCCACCCTTCATTCTCAGAGATGGAGCCTCGGGAGAAGAATCCCAGCCTCAGAATCTAGCTCTGCCTCTCAGCCAATGGCCTCCATCTCTTTGATTTGAAGCCCCATGGCATGCCTGTGGAGAGTGCTCAGCTCCTCACTGCACAGATGTGCACACAAACTGGGGACCAGGTTAGGTTTCACTGGTGGTCAGAGCTTTTTAGGGAAATTTCCATTAATTTCAAAGCCTGAAACACTTCATTGATATGAATGACTCCATATGGGAACTCCATCAATAGACATGACTGACTCTTGAGGGCCAATCAGAGCTTACACTAACGTCCCAAACCCAACCCATCAGAAATCCCCAAAATATCCCTGTTCTTTCTTGGGGCAAAATTGGGGGTAGGATGTAGGAGGACGAGTGGAAGAAGGCCAGAATACTTCTCTAGTTGGGGAGGTCAGCTCCGGTCCTTCCTTTTGGGGCATCAGGTGCGGAGCACAGGGAGGCTGGTTCAGGGCTGGGTTTGGTCTCCGTGGAGCCGGGCAGCAGGTTTCTGTGGACAGCAGCTGCATGACTGTGGGACTCGTGGAGTTCCCGGGATCCTTGGGGCTGTAGCGCAGTTCGTGCCTCAAGAAATCACTGATTTCAGGTGCTGGGGCCTCCCAGCCGAGCTGAAGTTCCCCTGGCTGGCTCCCACCCATGGCCTTGATGATATTGGGGGGAGCTGGCAGGCCTGAGGGTGGAACAGGGCACATGAGAACTCCGGGTACTGCAGGGCATGGACTGTAGAGAGGGGTCCTGGAGGCTGTCTTGGGGGCGGCTTCTGGGTTCTAAAAGACCATGATGCTCTTGCAGGGTGGGGCAGGACAGGGAGGCTCCTTATCCTGTGACCTCACTGCAGGCTTGTTAGGCCAAGTGCTCCTCAAGAGCAGGGAGCACTTTTTGTATCAGTTTCCTTGTCACCCAGCACAGTGCCTGGTGCCCCACTAGGTGACGAGTAACTATTGAACAGGTGAGCGAATGAACAGACTAATGATGGGAGGAACGGAGTGTCTCTGGTGTGAAATGAAATCTAACTCTGATGGCAAGGCTGCGGGGAATGGTCAAGGGGTCTTGAGGCACTATTGGGGTCTGGCGGAGGATGCCGTGCATGGGGTCCAGAAAGAGCACAGACCAGGGTGATTCTAGGAACTGACCTGGGGGAGCAGATAGACCAGGGCAACAGGAGAAGGGCTCTTACCCACACTGTCCACAAACAGCACCCGCTGGGTCAGAGTCTGGTTCAAAAACACATTCTTCACCCAGAGGTGCAATGGAAAGAAAAGACGTACTTCATCCTGGGCCAGAAGCTGGCACGTGTATCGGATTCCAGAGGGGAGTACACTCTGGGAGCTCAGGGGGCAAGCACGGGGCTTCTCCCTGTGGACACAGGAGATGTCCATCCACCTACATGGCCAGCATGCCCAGGCTGGGCCCAAGCACAACTTCTATGTCCACACTTTTCCTTCTCAGTACCTGGGATAGGTGGGATTAGGACATAAGAAGGGTTTGGGCTGGGCCTACCTATGCCCAAAGCACATCTGTTTGTGAAATGGTCACTGAGGACATGTAGTTGAGTAGTCCTCGGATGGGGCCTGAGGGAGGCGAGCAGAGGGGAGGCAACTGCAGCGAGTACAGGACGGATGCAGGGGAGTGGGGTGCAGTCTAGCACATACCCTGGGTAGGCATACAGCAGCTTGTATGTTCCATTGGGTGCTGCCTCTTCCTCCTCCCAGAAGCAAGTGAGGTCCTCGAATGTTCGAGAGAAACAGTTGAGGGGCTCTGAGTCCAAGGCCAGCAAGGAGGCATCTGAGGAACAACTGGTGAGTGGAGGTGTGGGTCCTCCCAGGCTTGTTTATGGGCAAGTGTAGGGGACCAGTGGGAGCTGCCTACCTTGCACCCCTCCCAGGGCTCCCATTTTCTGGGTCTAGGTGATCTCCACCCTCCATACACCTCACCTTGGCTGGTGACTTGTGCCAGGTTTGGGGGGGCCAGGAGGAGGCAGGAGGTGACCAGGAGGAGGCAGGAGGTGACCACCAAGAGGGCCCAGGAGGGCATCTTCTCCGGCACTGTGTGCCTGCCTTGGCCCATCCTCCCTTCAGGAAGCCGGGCCCCAATCCCCTCCCGGGCCAACCCCTCAGGTTCCTGTCAGATACAGCCCCACGTCCTGTCCTTGTGCCTGCCCCTGCGGGGCCCGTCCAGACCACACTGGGGCCAGGGGCCAGGGGAAGGGGAGTGGGACTGGGCAGGAGGGTAGGAGGAAATTGAGATGACAGGCCTTTTGGAGGGAGGGAGATGGGGTTTCGATTTTTTTGACCAAGGCTCTGTGTGTGTCTATGTTAACTATTATAGATGGGCGAATTAGCAACAAGAACAGCAGCATTTACTGAGCCCTTACCATGTGCTGCCATTTGTTAAGAACTTCACATCTGTTGTCTCAGCTAGTCCTCACAATGGTCTTGTTTTTATTATAAAGATGACGAAACCAAGATGCAGAGAAATTTGCCCAAGATTGCAATACCTACTTGGGGGTAAAGCTCAGGAGGTCAAGCTTCAGAACCAAGTGCGTAACAATGGCACCATGCTAATAGAGGTGCTCTCTGCTGGGGCACAACTGTCACCTCCCAGCCATGACAACATGGCGACTATTTCTACTTTGACAGGTCCTAGGACTCAAGGCACAAATAAACACATCCTTCCTGCAACTGAACATGCCCTCTCTGTTGCAGGCGACCTCCCCAGCTACCTCTAGTCTTCTGCTACTCTAAGCATGGTCTGTAGACCAACAGCAATATTACCTAGGAGCTCCTTAGAAATGCAGAATCTGGCCTTGCCCCAGAGCTACTCAAACAGAACCGGCTCTCTACCAAAATCCCCAGGTGATTTGAATACACATTAAGGTTTGAGAAGCACCAGCTTTCCATGCTTTTATGTGGTTGGCTCAGAGCCAAGGGATGGGTGGTCTCAATTCTTCAGCTCAAGCTCAGCTCCTTCACATTGTAGCAAATAGTGGGCGTGACCCCACTTATCTGAAGCCCTGGTCTCCTGAGCTGTAATGTGGGTGTCTTTTATGCCAGCCCTCTGGAGTTTTGACTCTTGCAGGGTGTTGGGGACAGGGAGGGGAAGAGGGGGAGTGCAGATCAGGTTAACTCCCATGTTTAGCCCCTCCCATTCCAGCTGGGGCTCCCATTGTTGACTCTACAGATGAAGTGTTCTTAGCATCACCTTTGTCTCTTCCTTGGGAATTCATGTTATTGAAGAATTATGGGAGTGTGGGTGAGAGGAAGAGATAGATGGAATCCTTCATGCCTCCCATGGAGTCTCAGCTTCTCTGGCACCATGTCTCTGCAAGTCATCCTGGTTCCTGTCCATTTCTCAGGTGACAAGGATCAAGGATCAACTTCTTCTGTCCAATGGTAATGAATTTGGATGCCTTTGCTGGCCCCCAATCAAGGGTCACCCAGCCTCCTGTCAGGTCAAGTGAGACAGGAAATACACCTTTAATGTTCCTGTGACTTCAGTGTGCTCTATTGTGTTGATGACTTCAAAACAGATATCTGCAGCTGTGACTTAACCCCAAGCTCCAGATTTGGATTTCCAGCTGCCTACTTGGCATCTCCACTTGCATGTCTAGTGGGTATCTTATGCTTAAGATGGTCAAAATAAAACTCTCAACTCTGGTTGTATCCCTAAACCTTCTGTCTTGCCCACCTCTGTAAATGGCACCACCATCTACTCGGTTGACCAAACCCAAACTGTCAGTATTCCTTGATCCTCTCTTATTCTTAGCCTACATTCAATTCACTAGCAAGTCTTTCCAGATATTCTTTCAAAATATGCTCTGAATCACTTCACTTTTTACTACGTCCACTCCTAGCATCCTAGCCCAAGCTTGGGTTATAGCAGCATCTTCCTAAATCTCTCACTTTACTCCTTCAGGCCATCTTCCATGTAATGGGTGAGGTGTTTAAAATGCAAATTGGATTTTTTTTTTCACTCCCCTGCTTAAAAGCCTCTGATGATCTCCAATTACACTTAGAATAAAATCCATATTCCTTCTAATGGCATGCAAGTTTCTGCCAGATCTGGTCCCTGCCTCTTTAAATCTTATCTCCTACACTATCTTTTTTTGCTATAACCTCAACTTGTCTCTTATCTTAATCCTTATCAGGTTCAACCTGTGTCTAAGATATATTCTTTTCCTTCCTTGGATTCCACAGTGTGTCATGGTCTTCTGGTTTTTCCCTATCTCCTGGAACATTCCCACCCAGTTTCTTTCTTTGCTCTCTCTCTTAAGTGTTGCAACTCCCAGGGGTCCTTGTTCCACCCTTTATATTGACCTAATGGCTTCAGTACTACTTATAAATGAGCAACTCCCAGACTTTATCACTCTCTTGACCTTCAAATTCTCAGTTACTTTTTAGACGTCTCCATTTGTTGTTCCACAGGCACTGCAAAGCTCACCAAGGTCCAAATGGAACTACCACTAAGTCCCATGTACCCTCTTGGAGCTTCTCTTGATATATTCTGCCTCCCACCATAGGCTGCCTAGGCATCTAAGCCAGAAACCTGAAAGTTGTCCTCAAATCTTCATTCTCCCTTCACTCCTGCATCAAATCTGACCAAGGCTTTGTGCATTTTAGCAGGAGGCAGTGTAACCGTGGTTAAAAGTCCACAAGATAGGGTACTTCTCTATGACTGTGATAGGGTTGACTGGGGCTGTCTGCTCCTGAGTGGAAGGGGGTCCAGCTTCCTGTTCTTGTCATTTTTCTATTTCTCTTTGCTTCCATACACTTGGAAAGAGGTACCGTACCCCCATCTTTTACTACTTCAGAATATCAAGCAGAAGCTGCAATGGAGCTAGGAAAAAGGAGACCACTTAGGTCTTCCTACTCTTTGGCCAATCCAGTAAGCTCTTTGTAGTCAAATACAGATCAGCAAATTTAGGTGTTTCTGTTGGGACATAAGTTGAAGCCCCGGCCTACCGGCCTACCGTGCAGCTGTTGCTCGAAGAACTCAACGAGTTCCTGGAAGAGGATTGGCTCAGGCAGCAGTGTGCTGACAAATTGTTCTCTGGGTGAGGGAACCCTGTTTTCTAGGATTTGCTGCTTTTTGTGGTGTAAATTCCTTGGCCTTGGTGTAAATTCCTTGTGGTGTAAAGTTTCAAGTGACTAAGATGATTTCACAAAACAGTGATCTGTGCAGAGAGTTGGCTCTTTTGAGCCCATCCCTATGCTCTAGCCCTCCATCTCCCCAAATTTTTTCCAATCATATCCCAGGATAGGCAGCTTTAGGCACTTGGATTCTCTGTCTCCCCACCTCTTTCCCAACATTGCCAAATGTCTCTCTAAAATGGTGGTTCCTTTTAGATCGCTAGCAGCATGTAGAGCATTGTATTTCCCCTACACCTTCGTCGATGTTTTAAGTTTGCCATTCCTATAGCTGACAATGCTTTTTTCTGAAGTTTAGATTGACTTTTATTCTTGCCCTGCTTAAAATCCTTCCATCACTCCACAAGATCCTTGGATCAAGACTCAGCCCCAGATGCTGTCACCCTGGCCTTCAGAACTTGCGTCTTCCTATTCCTGCCATCTCTACCTCAGGATTTTCCCTTCATTATTTCCCAAACCTTTTCCTGCCACGGGGCCTTGTTTCCTTGCTTCCCCAGTCACAGAAACTTGCTGGAACTCACTTTATGTTTCAAACCTTTCCTAAGTCATGACTTCTTGGGAGTCTTTTCTTAAGCCCTAACTATATGAAATTGGGGAAATGCAATTTCACATCCCTTTCAGAGGCCTCATAGCTCTTTTGTGATTACAAACAGCTAGTTGAGCCTTTGGTTATGGCCTTGATAGAAGGAGTCAGAGAACTAAATATGTTGATTAAGAAATTGATGATAATTTTAGAATGGACTGTGGGAACTCCAGAGGAAAAGGAGGGCTAGTAAGTGAAAGACCTAAGCAAAGAAAGCAACCTAAGCAAAGAAAACTTACCCAAGGGGAAGGTGCAGGGGAAAGACTGCTAGAGGATGATTTCAAAACAGCGATGCCTAATACTTAAAGTGTTTTCCCTACTCTGTGAATGCTTAAACTTCCCTATAGCCTCCCCAAACATTCAGCAAAAGTGTTCTATACACAAAACCTTACAGTCATGGCATTTTAGGAAGAAAGGCAACATGGCTACCCCAGAAAGTGGGTAAAATAGTAAGCAAGAATTTAGAGAAAGCAGAAATTCAGACTGAGCAGTGACCGTGGGGACATAGCCCCTTGGGGAGTCCTAGTGAGAACAGGAGGGGCATGGACTTCCCAGAGGATGTGGAATGTGGACTGAGCTATTCTAATTGGGTATAATGGAAAAGGTGACCCCAGAGGGCTGTAATCCTTGAGAACATTTGGGTTCCTATGCAGTCATCCCAGCCCCAGAATTTTGTGCTTCTGTTGGGTTGCTTGTATACATAAACAACCATGCTGCACTTCTGCCGTAGCTAGACAAGATGTGAACTCCATCAAGTCATCTTGGCTCATTCCTCCTGAGTAAGAGTGGGTGCCTTTTCCTCTCCGGTTCCCTGCCCTACTATCGTTCTGCCACTTGCCAGTACCCAGCACTTGCTGTTTGCCAGCATTGTCTCGTGTCATCACACAAAGCGTCTATTAGGTGCCCTTGTCCTTTCTTTACAGAAGAGAAAGTGGAGGCTGAGATAGATTAAATGAATTGTCCAAAATCACTCTGAAGGCAGAACCGAGACTTGTATTCAGGTCTGTTTAACTTTAAAGCTCGTTCTCTTAACCACCACACAGACACCTCTGGCCGGGGCTACTGTTTCCTCCCCTTTATTCATTTATTTAACAGTATGTGTTTGGCGAAGAGCCTGGCATGAGTCTTTCTCAGAGTATGAGGCTGGATTCAAAATAAGCATCAGGAAAGCTTTAACTCAGGTAAGTGGAAATGGACAGTAGGTGTCCAGCAGTGACCCCAAGCAAGAGAGTTTCTGGGGTCCTGGTTAGGTCAGCCCTCTGTCCTTGTAGAGCAGTGGGGCTCTCTCTGAGCCTTGAACCCAAGACCAGCCAAGGAATCATGAAGTCCAGCCCACT